CACTGGAGCGGAGTCAGTGAACTGCTGGAACGGACTGCTAATATCGGAGCGCTTATATCGGACATTTTTTATGCAGTCCGATAAAATCCGATACTCGTTTTTTGGCTGATATCGGACCGATATCCGATATTGATATCGGATCGGGACACCCCTACTGACTAATCATGGTGACCTGGCAGGGTTTTATTAAACAGTGTGTAAGTTGTGTGATTAAAAACACCACTTACTGTAAGTTTGTCGGATAAAAATAGAAGCACAGCAACAGATGACAGCTTGAGCTGAAACACATTTATTTGTTGATATGCTTTTATCTTGGTTTAAATGATACTTGGAGTCAGTGACGGAGCTAGACATTTTTCTCAGGGGCGGCCAGACTGGGACCACTACACACACAGGGGTGGCCAGGAAAATTACATCATTTTTTACTTGAAAGTTTCTGCAGATCTTTGTGTTTTTGTCATTCCCTTATGTCCTTATACAGGCAGTGAGTACCTTATAAACATGGGCGTCAGAACAATTTTAAAAGTGGGGGGACACACTGTTGCGGGGTCCGAGAGTCCTCCCCCAGAAAAGTTTGAATGAAATAGATGCCATTTCCTGCATTCTGGTGTATTTTACCAGGTTGTTAAACACACCTTTACCCACATAAATAAACACTTGATTTAATAATTATTTCKGAGACAGATTCTTCATTAAACTAGTTCCATCATCCTGTTTTAAACTCAGTTTTAGCTGAGATAAGCTTAATTAAAGTGACACAATTTATCATATCCAATGACTATAGGGATGGTTTTTACTTTTATATTGTTTATAGATTTATTTTTAATTGTAACACGTCATTGTGCCAAATAATGATGACCTTCAACTGCATGTTTAAAACTAATATTAATAACTTTACCCAATGAACAGGTGCAATATTGATAKRCACCAACAGTGAATTTAGAGGGCTGTTTCACTTTTTATGATTTAGTAATAGGCCTACTCATAACCAGAAGGGARAGAGCATCATGCAGCCTTCAGAACATAAAATGAAAAATAAAATAAACATTTGTCACCCTCAGTCCAAAAGCTGGCACCATAAGTCAGATTACAGGCATATGTTCTGTATATAAAGAAATCATCACTTCCTTGTCATTACTGTTCTTCAGTGATAGAGCTTGGTGATGTTTCAAACTGTTAAACACTGCCACCAACTGTTCAGGAGGATMATTACACCAATAGAGGTTATTTCACTGTAGAAGGGGTGTGTGTGTACAGCAGGGTGGCCAAATATTTGTCTGTGGTGGTCATGGCCACCCCCTGGCTCCGCCCCTGCTTGAAGTGAATATTCCAAGTTTAAAAGTATTTATAGAAGATAGTTGGGTTTTTTAAATTATTTTCTGCTGCTTTTTATGATTTTAGGCTTCATTGGTACGGTCATATTTGTTTATAGCTAAGCAGTCAAGACTAAATCTTTTATTGCCTAAATGGGAGCCCTGCATCAACCTAATAATAGTCTTAAAATATTTTTTGTTACAATTAACAAGCGAACTCTACAAAACTCAATTGCAACACCCAAATGTTTATATTACCCATTTCACTAATTAAATTTCTAACCAAAAAAAAACATTAAATTTTCCAATCCGTAACAATAAATTTACAGCATTTAGATTTTTCAGTGATGGTTAAAAATGATTCAGTGACAGTGCTTTTAATTAATGCCTCCTCAAACCACACATACATAAAAACAAACAATGGAGTTTAAAATGCATGAATTAATACAACTGGTATTGTAATTTTACTTTGATTGCAGCAGAGTTATCAGCAAGTGTATATTACTCCTTCACAGTATTAAATAATTGTATTTCTCATAAAATTAGCTTAAATAATTACTGCAGAGCATGACAATTTTTTTAAATATCCGATTACTCGATTAATCATCAGAATAATCGATAGATTAATCGATTACTAAAATAATCATTAGCTGCAGCCCTACAGTAAACTTAACTTTGTAGGATCAATTGCTGTGTAATAATATGAAGTCAAGCTTATTATGTAGATAAACATTTTTTTCTTTTTCCCCTTCCTGTTGCAGTCACTTGTTTCCTCTTCGTCTTTACCCAGTCACGTGTCCTGGACAAAGCATTGAAAGTGTTCTCTGTCTTTGCAGGTGTTTGACCTTCGTCAGTGCCACAGACAGATGCAGCAGCAGGCTGCTACAGCTCAGGCAGCAGCAGCCGCACAAGCAGCGGCCGTGGCAGGAAACATACCTGGACCTGGATCAGTGGGAGGGATCGCTCCAGCTATCAGTAAGCTGCACACTCACATGTACATTCACAGGKTTAAAGGCTGTGTAACAAAACAGAAATATATGAGTGAGTAATATGTAGGATGTTTTTATACTGTGTGACTGATTACTGAAAACAATACTATGTTTTGACCACGTAGATGTCTAAMTAAGCCGTGACTCCTCTGTATGTTAAGCCCCCAAACTCCTCTTCTCGACCTCTGTCCTCCTGTCCTTTCAGGTCTGTCTGCAGCAGCTGGGATCGGGGTGGACGACCTGCGCAGGCTGTGTATCCTCAGGATGAGTTTCGTTAAAGGCTGGGGCCCTGACTACCCCCGCCAGAGCATTAAGGAGACCCCGTGTTGGATTGAAATCCACCTGCACAGAGCTCTGCAGCTCCTGGATGAGGTCCTCCACACCATGCCTATAGCAGACCCCCAACCTCTAGACTGAGATCTTCCCAGCAGCAGCTTCACACCTAAACTCCCAGAAACTACGGAAAGTCTTCCTCAGTGGTGGAGAAGGTGAAATCAAACTCATCATAGAAACGTTTTTATTTTTTTTTTAGATGTGTTTGAACGTTTTGTGCACTGTGGCTGTGTTTGCTCCTGATAAAAACATAAAACCAAAGCCATACATTAAAGTCATGGTAATCGTTTTGACAGGTGGCTTTGGTATTTTTTATTTTTATATTTTCGACTGAGCAGAAAAAGAGGTTGCAGATTCTTAAAATTAAAATTGCACATAGAGGACCAGATCCTGTGAAACTGGAACACGAACAGACACAGCCAGCAGCGACTGAGGGACTTCAGACATTAGAGAAGCACCGTCAGGGTGCTAGAACGCCTGTTTTACTCCTGTGGGTTTTCATCAAATACACCTCACTCAGCGTCACTCGAAAGGCGCTGGTGCTGGAACAGAGCARGCCAGACCATCACAGGCATTCACAGGTTTCACACAAACAAACCACGTCTGCAGCTGGCTCTCAACCTCTGAACTGAAACATGTCTGGACTTGTCCTGGTCGGGTTTAGTCAAAACTACAGGTTTGGACTTCCACCGGGACAAGTTTCAAGAGTGGGTGTGTGTGCACACAGTAGATGGGAAATCGTTTGTTTCCCTCGTGTCTATTAAATGAGATGAAGTAGCAATGAGAACTCCCGGTTCATATGTTTAACAGTAAAGTTCAGCTTTAGATGTCAGATCTGTGGTTTTGACACACATGCAGATATATTTACAGTGACTGATTTAACTGTGATTCTAACATTTCTCAAGGAAAACCTAACCACATTTTTGTCTTCTTTTGTTTTTGCCTGGACACAAATTTGGACAGTGTCTCTTTATGCCTTCAGAAAGCTCTCTGCCCTTTTTTTTTTTTTTTTTACGGTCATGCACCGTAGAAACAAAAACAAGCTTTGATGCTTTTGGTTTTGTAGGAATGATGCAAGAAAGCAAAGAAGATTGTAATACAAAGATTATAGTTTGATTGTTTTTGGTGATCCAAAGTAATGTTTTTTTACAGGCATAAAACAGTGGTGTTCCTTRAAAACTTCCTTAAATTTTAAATATTTTTAAAAATTTTGACTCATTAAGAACCATCATAACATAACTATTTATTCCTTGATCCAGGTTTTGAGTAGTTTACCAAAAAAAAAAGAAGAGACATTTGGACATTACTTACTAAAGCTGACATATCTGAGGGTGGTTATTTTGATTAAGTAAGTTGTATACTTGTAGCACTTTATTTTGTCTGGTTTAAGTCAATAACCAGAATCAACACCACATTGTCCTGCGATATTTTAAGTTTTAGTAGAAACATACTGTTTATAACACTAAGATTGTCTCCTTTTTTATTTTACACTTTCACTAAGCATTCACAAAATATTTATGGGTTTAATTTTGGCTAGACTAGTTTTTTTTCCCTCATTAATCCATGTAAATAACATTATTTTCCTTTTTAAATGCATGTCTGCATGGAGTTTTATGTCATAAACCTCTCTTAACTTTTAGAAATAGAATGTATATTTTTCCTGCATTATGTGGGGAAATCTGAGAYTTTATAGAAAGCAGAGCCTGTTGGATATTGGTGTTAGTTTTGCTAGTTTACGGACAGGAAGATGCTGGAAAGTTGTCATTTAACTAATAAAGAAAACTAGCCTAGTGTTTAGCTGAGGCTAACGATCTTCCAAAGTACAATTTAACCAGAAGCCTTTATTTTAGGTTTTTATTTTATTTTTTTAAAGCGGTAAGTTTTTGTTTTTCACAAGTGCTGGAACTTACAAAGATTTTTGCTCCATGCTGCACATGACTCTGTTGCTTTAAAGGCCTTTGTTGCAGATTACACATTTCATGCTCGGACTCAGTTTTCCCACCGTTCACTGTGTTCTGACAATCTGTTAACAAAGCTGCATGACAAGGATTTTTTAAACTGGCTTTTCACGGTTTGCTGTCCGACAGATGAGGTAAAACCCGAGCAGCAGTTTTACTCTTGATGAGATGTTTTCACTAAGGTTTATTCAGCTGAATGAAATGAAACTGTATTTTATGAAAAAAAGAAAAACATATTGAAAGTATTTAACAGGATGTGCTTTTAAGGTGGACAGATGTTTTTTAAATGACTTTCTGGTATTATAGGAGTTAAGACAGCCCAGCTGAGTTTGTGTTGACTACTATGACAGATTGCAGATATCAATTTTACCTGTTTCTCATGTGAGAATCTACCATTAAATACAGCCTGATTTTATCCAAGTGGTGTCATGTTTTTATTTTGCTTCAGGATGTCCATAGAGGACTTAGGTACACTGAAATACTGTGTAAACTGGATTTTTAATGCCAAGTTGTAGATATTAGGGGTGCACCAAAAAATTGTTTTACATCAGAATCGTGATTCTCATTTACAAAGATTCAGAATCGATTTTTCAGTCTATAAATATTTAAAAAATAAATCCAAAGATTGTCAACCTCCATTTTGTAACCACTTGGGACGTCCTAACGTCACATGCGGCCGGTTCTGGAATGTATGCGTGCGCAGAAAGCACCAAAACAAAAGAGGAATCTACAAAACTGGAGGAAAGAGAGATTCAACTGGCCCTGTCTTCATTGAATGCACAGATTTGGGCTCATTTTGTTTTTTACTGAATGAGTCTGAGTTTGACATGAGCTTCACTGTGTGCAAAATTAGCAAAATGTAGAAGAAGCACTTTGGGAACAAGCCAAATGGGCTGACATTGAGTTCTGAATGAAAAATCTGTTTTGAATCGAATTGTGAGATAGTAAAAGATTCCCACCCCTAGTAGATAGGTATGCATTGTGATAATTCACATTCAGAATATGTTTGTGTAAATTTAGCAGTTTCCAAGACTTCATGTGAGATCATGTCTATTCAACTGTATTTTAACTTATCTTTGGACTTGCTTTAAAGTCAGACTCTTGCAGATATTAGTCACACAGTATCCTGTAGAATTTAATTCTGAATAAATTGTAGAAAAGGAAGTGGATATCTGCGTGTCTACCTGGACAACTTTAATTAATGTTGCTTATCATCTGAGGTGGGAAGATGGAGACTCAAAGGAACTCTAACGTATAAAGTCATTAAATGTGAACAAAAATCTAATTTAACATAAATTCTCAAGGGTTGTAAACGATTTGTTTGCGAGTAAAGACATCTGTTTTAGAGATCTAATCCAACTGTTCCTAGTTTTAACAAATAATCCACAAAATGTGAACAGGAAATTGCAGCTGTGATTTAAGTGTTGTAGCCAATTGTGATGCCATTTTAAATCCAGAGGCTACAGTGTCTGCTGTGTGCAATATTTAACAGACATCAAACCCATATTAGAACATTTCTTTAGTTAAATGAATCATAAATACTTTTCTTTACTTCAAAACTGCTTTTCTTACTCATATTTACAACAATCCTGAAATCAATATCTCAGTCAAATTTCCAGCCTGCATTAGAAATAAAAATCAATCGAATGAAAGACAGAAGTCTGGAATGGCTTTAAATGAAACCGTCTTTATTACGTAACTTTAATATCAGAAAAATAAAACTCTTAAAATTCTCTTTACAGCAAATATATAATATCAGTGCTTTGGCCGCAATAACTTAAAAGGCCATTATAAAATATAGTCTGCTTTTAAACTCCTGACTTATTTTGAAGAATTTATATGCCTTAAGACTCCTCCTACACATATACAACAACAAAAAAAAAGGTGTAGTAAAATTAGCAAATACTCTGAACCGTTGTTACAGCTTTCAACAATATGTATTCATATATAGGTAATAGAAGATACATTTGTAATAGGATACCGTTCTAAATTTGGTGTTGTACAGACATTACAGGCAGCTTGAATCCTTGGCCTTTTTTTTTTACAGTTGCAGTGATGTTCCACAATGGCGGTAAATTAACAAGACATGCTCGTGATGCACATTCCACTTTCAGCTAGGTTTAACGGCAGCTAATCAATACTATTATCATCATCATCAATACTGTAAACTAAGAACTAGACTACAAGCAGACAGCACTGAAACTCTCCTGCAACATTTCTGGATTTCCCAACTCTTCATTCACCTAATCATTCATAAAGTAAAATTAAAAAAAGGTAAATTTTATTGTAAACATTTTAATATAGATATATTTATGTATATACGAAATGTAACAAAATAAAAAATAAGTTCTGTGTATTTATCAGTCATTAACAGTAATATATAATACATACACAAAAATGTCAATAGATTCATGTCATTTAACTGAGGGCTGATTATGTATTGCATTCCCTCAGAGAGAAAGAACAAAAAAAAGTAACTCTTAGAAGAGAAGTACGTAAGTGGGACGGATAGAAAACCCAGCAGAGACAGAAGCAGATGGACTTTTTTTTTTCTCCTTTTTGCACGTTTGGGATTGGTTTGGTTCCATTTTCTCATGAAAGCTCAATCACCCGTGACAGGAAAAAAAAAAGAAGATGCAGAAGAATTAACTGRTGTAATGAATTCCAGCTGGAATGCGACAGTGACCGCAGTCCAATGTCCAGAAACATAAAAGCAGCCATTATTGACGGTACGTAGTGTCAGCAGTTCCACGGTGAACTCATTCCAACTGCCGCTTCTCTTTCCGAAAATAAAAAAATAAGTCAGAATTTATTCAAGCCTGTTAAAACTCTAGAGCCACTGTTTTTTTTAAAGCTAATACTTGAGATGATTTCCACCGACTTTGTACCTTTTCAGGAAGATGAACATTTGGAGGGAAATGAAGATGTGCTTGTCCCAGAAGTGTGATTAGTAGGAGGAAAGGCTGTGCTTAGCAGCAAACACATGAGCTGATAAAACAGAAGTGTGTACCACTAGAAACATCTCATTGATGTGTTTTATGAAGGGGGGAAAATAAATAACTAAAGGGATGTCCAAAGTCTGAGTTTCAACTAGCTGCTGCGATCCTGGACTAGTTAAAATACTGAGATGATTTTTGCATAGGCAGGGCAGACAAGATGTTTGATAGCAGAATAAAGCAATGGATGGTCTTCATCCCCCCAATTTCACATCCTAATAAAATTACCGGACAGCTCCAGGTCGGAGCAACCCGAGAGAATCAACATTCAAGTAAAAGAAGAAAAGGGAAATTATTGAGATGGCTTCAAAATTTTAAAGAACCACACACAAAAAAAATTAATCAGCCAGTGTGCACTTCACTGGGATTTGTTCCAGATCAAAGCTGACAATATCAACTACTGTTTTGTTCCCGGGTGAGGTTTTACGTAAGAATGATGAGTCGCATCTATACCGTCTACAAAAGTGACTACAATCCTACGGAGGAATGTTACAAAAGTACAAGATGTGCATAGCTTTCTAGCTGAAAACCAGCACATGGTTTCCCACACAAAGATGTAAACAAAACAAAAAAACTAAAACCTAAAAAAGGACAAAAATAAATCTAAAATAGGTACAAAAACACTTCAAAAGAGGCTAAACCATGAGCAAAAAAAGCATCCTCGTGATTTAACCTTTTGTTCCATCGAGATGCATTTAGCAAGACACTAAACTCCAACAAATACATTAAGATTTCCGTCTGTCAGCTTGTGTTCTTTAGAGCCCAAAATCTGGATTTGTACATAGTGTTGTGAGCTAATAATAGGTTTTCCAAAAAGGCCACAAGTTTGAGGACAGAGCAGCGCCGCGTCCACACAACCAGTTGTTTCTTTCGTTTACTCATAGGAATTAGGCACCGAGTTTACCGTAAACTGGTTTTACGTAGAAATTAAAAACGCAAAATGCTGAAGAGGCGTAACATCCCAGTTGTCTAAAAATAAAACGAGTTATATAGTTTTTGGTTTCTTGTCTGTACGGGCAAACAATATATATTAAGAGAAAAAAATCTGAGGCAACGATTGCTTATGGAGTGTGACGTTTCAGGTTTAACCCATTTGGTATATAATAAAAAAAAAGATGTGGGAGTGTTTGTTTACATTTTCAGATGAGGTTAACGTGAGCACGCTAATAAAAATTCTGCATTCAGACTTGACGAWCATGAATCATCCTTTTAAAGGAACTGATTTACAGCAATAGTAAGATGTTTTCCAAAAATGATCTTGAATAAGATGAATTCTGACAATGTCAAGCTTCCTGTTGCATTAAAAAAAACGCACCGTATTTCACTGGGGGAAAAAAAAGCCAACTGTGGGACTTCATACTAGAAGTAAGCATGCTTGGTTCTTGTCCTTTGAATTTACTGCTTATTTATTTTTTATATTTTTCTTGAAAAGTGACGACCAAAAAAGGTCAGTAATCTGTCCAACAGAATTCAACATAATAAAAACAAAATATATTAAAACTATGGGTAGAAAATAAAAACTAATTACTAAAATAAAAATGAGGGGGAATTAAGAAAATATACATAAAAATAAAGAACTTATAAATCCCAACCCTCCTAATGCTACATAGAGGATTTCTAATCCTCCCGTTGATCAATCAGACTTCACGACAGCAGGCACCTYTATGGGCTGAACACCCGGACATGCCCGAAATGAACATCGTTCCTATTTCACTTCTGCACCTTTGCTGACTTAACACCAGCCTGGACAGAGCTGGGGTGAGACCTAAACACTGATTTGGGGTCTGTTTTGTAAGTTTCCCATATATGCTTTGAACCAGATTCGTTAAAGAGGCGGACCCCTCATCAGACATCAAGGATTAAAAAATAAATAAAAATCACATATTGCGGAGCTGAATGGCCTGTGTGGCCGGGGACAGGCACACGGGGCACACTGCCTCTGGGCCTTGGCATATCTGGGTGGCACAATCTAGACAGAAGAGATTATGGCCGCAAGGAACCAAGGCAGCGATCACCTGGTTATCCATACACTGGATGCACATCTCCTGCCCCCTCCCTGATGGTCCGAGGCCTGGACGGTAGGAGAAGGAGGACTCGGGAGGAGAGGAGGACGAGGAGGCGGTGCTTTCACTGGAGGAGGAGAAGGCCGAGCTGTACGAGGGGATCCTGTGGACGTCGAGGGTCCCGGCTGACCCAAAAGGCCTTCGGTGAACACGCTGGGCCTGAGGGTGCTCCAAGGCTTCGGTCCCAGAGAAGGTTGGAGAGAGGCGGGGGGTGCCGGGCTGGCTGGTCTGAAAAAACAATCAACAGGCGTAACAATACAAAAAAAAAATCATTCCCATTTCAGAGTCGAGATTTTTGTTTTAAAACACAGGTTATTATTTTACCTGAGACTGAAAAGAATCGAAAGCCTGAAGAGACTGGCTGTCCACGAACGGGCTCCAAATGTGCGACTGTGCAGTAGAGTGCGAAGTCTGGGCAGTGGAAATGGTTAACGGATCAAATCCTGAGGGGGTGCCTCCACCTCCCAGGCTAAGGAGCTCCTCGGACCCCACACTAAGGAGGTTATCACCAAACCAGAAGCTTGTGCTGCCACCACTACCGTTGTTGTTGTTGTTATTGTTGGCATTGGCGTTGAATGGAAAGGTTGGGCTGAAATCTGCCATCCGGTTCCCGTTGCCCCCGCTGTAGAAAGAGTCGGCCGAGCTGGAGCCGCTGCCCAGTGAGCTGGAGCTGTCGTTGCGGTAGGTGGAAGACATCCTGGCAGCGCCGCTCATATTGCTATTGACCCGCTGAGTACCGTTGACGGTGGCAGGAAGCAAGCTTCCGGCGCCTGGTGAGGACGCGCCTGCGTGGAGCCACCCGGCCTCCCCCAAACCAAGCGGAATCGCAGACGTGTCGAAGCTGACGTCTGTCCCGTTGAATTGGAAATCACTGTTGTCCACTCCCGGAGCTTCGATACCTCCGCAGGTTCCGGTGCGGAGGGCGATGTGYGCCTCTATTTCCTCCCGCGCCCGGTCCACGTTCTCCGGCATCCCCGTGACCTCAAACACTGGCTCTTTGTCGCGACTGGGCGTCACAATGTAGGTGTGGGTCTGCTGCTGAATACGTTTGATGGTTGCACCTGGGAAGACATTAAAGAGAACATACCGTGAAAAAAATTATTTAGTTTAGAGTCCACACTCCTCTAAAATTCAACAAAGAAATCCGATTTATCYCTTTTTAACGGGGAATGTGTCAACGACAAAACAAACAAAAAAACCTGACATTGTTTAAATCAGCCCGTCCAAGCAGCTGCTCCTAACACTTGCCTCAAAAACTGGAGGGGAAAAAATGGACTGATAATGGGGCTGATTTGTGGTGAAGAAATTACGACATGAGTGCATCTTGTGCATTAACAGCTCAGCTGTTGCGTTACTCAGCATTTTTCTTTGCAGTGAAGTGATTTACCACACTAAGCTGGTTAAACAAATGACTCACAATAAGACTGGCCAAAAACACAGATCATCACAWACTTTTCTAAGCTGAACTGCAGATGGGGAAAATGTAAATATTTGGAAATAAAACCTTTTGCTTTTCCTCTTTTTTTTGTATTATGCTGAGTCTGCACTCTATTTGCTGTGGTGAAGTTTCAACTTGGATGTTGTTGCCTCTAGGAAGAGAGGTGAGGAGTGTCTTCAAGTGTCTCACTATATCCACTCAATTCCAAAAAAAACACATCTCAAAAGAATCATGTTGGTTCTGTTAGTGTAATTGCAATAATTATATTTAGATGTCAGGAAAGGWCCAGTTTTTCTTTTTTTTTTAAAGAGAAACCAACATATTACGCCTGCTATAAAAATTAAGTTTAGGTACGATCAATAAWCATGGCAATTTCACATTTGCACAGGGGAAAAAAAAAAAAGCAAAAACCAAGCATAAATAAACAGGGTGTAAATAAAGATCTGTTACTAACTGAAGTAGGTCAAGTTGACTAAAGCACAAATATAACCATAAAAAATTCACAGACATGTACTTTGTCAATAATTGCACTGCTTTTTTGACAATAAAATGTGACTTAAAAAAAACACACACACAGCTGCGCGGTAATTACAACTCTGAACTGTGGGCTGTTCGAATGACTCACCTGACAAAAGAGCACAACAATAGAATCCAGTCTCATTTTCTTAAATTCTCTAAAGAATTTATAAAACTGCAACACAAAATAAATGGAAAAAATCTGTTTTGTATAGTAAAGACAGGAAGGAATCGTGGTTTTGCAGTTATTAAATAATCTGCTCCAACAAATAAGTCTTTGACTCGTCAGCTCAGCCTCTGCTGTGTGTGTGTGTGTGTGTGTGTGTGTGTGTGTGTGTG